TGTGTGTGTGTATATATATATATATATATATATATATATATATATATATATATAATGTAAATCAACACATGGATTTTTTTGAAAGAAAAGGGAAACTTTTTAAATGATTGAAGAAAGCCCAAAGGAACATCTGGAATGTCTGGTGCATCAGTTTTCTACTGTGACTTCATCTTGTTGCTTCTGTAGGAATGTAGCAGAACAATAGCTGATACAACTTCATTGAAGAAACTATTAAAATCCCAGATGTGAACATGTGCTTACCACTTTTATGGGGAGAAATAATCCCAATGTAGTCATAGGATTTCTATGTGCAACTTTTCAGAAATCTCCCTTGAAGTTATTGTCACTCTTGTTTTCTTTTTTAATTTTGGCTTAGCTATGCTGTCAGATATCCATAACAGTTGTACAGTAAAAATCTCATACTTGAATAAAGTACTATTTTTTTGTGAAATAGGAGCTAGAATTTTCAGTCCACTGTATTCATATTTGATTTCCTGTCATCCTATTGACAAATTCTGGACATACAGGAGGTATGTTTCTTCATATTCACATTTTAGATCTCTAACAGTATGTTGTGGAAAATTGGCCACACTGTTGATTTTGGATCAGACAGCCTGAGGCTCCTTTATTGACAATCAAACATGCATGCATGGGGGAGTCAGCCAAGGCAGCCGAACCCCCCCGACAGATAAAATGCGAGAGATTATATAGGATAAAACCACAAAAATTACATATAGTTCCTTAAAGTTTTACATCCATATAAGGAATAAAACAAAACAAGTTTTCCTGTTTTTCTTAGTTTTGCCCTTTGCGGTTTCTTGCTCTGTCACCTGACATCTATTATTCATAATCTGTTACAAAGGTTAATTCTACTTTTATAATGTCTACAGTTAGTTCTGCTTTTATGATTTCTGTCTACCCTTCTCCTTTTACTCCCCCCCCCTTTTCTCCTTCCTCCAGGCCACACATACAATTCACCTGACCCTACATACAGTTCACTTGACCAAAGTTTAGGCCTTAGACTATTTTTCCTCCAGAAGTATCAACACATTTTCATAGCTATTAATTTGGAGGTGCTAGAAGACTGGGCTAAAAAGATGAAATTGGACCCTATAATAGACACCACAGGAAGAAAATGATATGCACAGTACAGCTATCTATGGAAATAAATATGCTGTGATGTCCTGCCACACTGAGAAACAGAAAGCCATTAATGAATGAGTTCTGATGAAAATGGCAACCTTTTTAGAAGGGCCATGCATTGAACAGTGTCAAGGGGGCATTTTCCACCATCCTTGCTAGTAGGAGTTATGAGGGCTTACTTCTTTACCACTGAGGGATATGAGTAGCTGGGATAGAACAGCCTATGGCACTCTAGTGTCTTTTGTGGTTGTTCCATTTGTTACAATGATTATATCAATACCAAGGTGACCTGTGAGGATGATGCAGAGGGGAGGGGAATATTCAAGAGCCAGTTTTTCAATAGCTATCATCATCATAATGTCCTTCTAGGCCATTGACATAGTCCAACAGCTTAGTAGTTGTATCCCTTAGTGTACTGAAAATGTATTAGGTCCATCATTTTGTGAGATTGGACTAATGAAAAGGTCCTTTAGTCCTTTTAATTTAATGTTAATCTAGGTTTTGACCCTAATATGAAGGAGGTGATAGTCTGACTGTATAATTGCCATACACTCTGTATCCAGTCCTAAGCTAAGATAAAATCCAGCATGTGCTCTTCTGTTTGTGGCCCCAAATCTACCTTGAGTAGACCCATCCTGGCATGTTCTGGAGGATCCATAGGATTCATAGGATCCAATACTCAAAAAATACCATCTCTGTGGATATTGAGGTGACCCAGGGCAAAAAATTCAGAGAATTTCAACCAGATAAGAGATCAGTCAGCATTCAATATGGAGAATCTGATTAGTGAATAAATTCCTATATCCAGAGCAAAATGATTATTAAGCCCTTGTATTGCATGTGATGTATTCAGTATTGGCTGAATAACAAAAAGGGTAATTTTCAAGACCCATTTTGTGCTATATATGTGGATAATAACCCCATAGCATAAACCTGTATTGGATGTGATATATTCAGTTCTATTGAGGAAGGTGGGGCCCATTGCAGTACTTATTTTAATTGCTAGATCCCAGAGCCAATCTGGAACCTTCTCTACCACGCTGACTTGGGAATTTATATATAGTATTGTCATTAGCTGCATTCTTTATGGTCCAATGAGGCAATCACTGGGAGTCATAGTGTAGGCATGATGTTATGCCCATATGTAGAGACCAAATGTGGGCTGGGATTTTAAAAGAATTAGTCCCCCAGTTCCCATAGTTAGTCGATAGGAGTAGGGCACCTATCTCTCTTAGGTGCTTTTATAAAAATCTCACCCATACACTAAATCCTGAGGTCTTTACTCTGTTTTTAATAATTGCTTTTTCAGGAAAATTCCTAGTGACTTCAGTAGGGCTACTCATGTGTAGGATCGGGTGGTTAGATTGTACACTCTTAGAAGTAGTAATATTGTCTCTCACTTGTCTGGAACGTACCATGCTCATTCATGGTTTGTATTAACAATAATACGTTAGTTACAGTTATAAGGTGCTGAGTCCAATAACTGCAGTGGCCCTAACAGAATATACAGTAATTGTGTTATCTTTATCTCTAACTTAATGAATCCCCCTGCAGCTAACATGAGAGTTGCACTTTATGCCATAGCTGAATTTGGCCAGTTCCATTCGCAGTATTTTTGCCAGTCACTCTCATCTGCAAGTCTTCAGGCCCATGCACAAATCAGATATAGAGTGTCATCAAAATGATATTTGAAATTTAGCTGTGACTCTCTGAGTACCTTTCCCAGACTCAAGGAAGATCTCTGTGTAGCTCGAAAGCTTGTATGTCTTACCAACAGAAGTTGCCCACCTTGTCGCTCTAATATCCTGGGTCCAGCATGGCTACAAGAACACTGTATACATCATAATGAAATCAAATTGGTCTGAATGTTACTTAATATTTCCTTTAGCTTTGTTTGCTTTAGTAGAATACTTAAAACACTTTGAATTTCTTGGTGGCTTGGTAATACGGTAGAATTTTTAATTTTGCTTTTCGTCATGAATTTTCAAGGCAAATAGAAGAGAACTTATAAGATGAAGACTGCTGCAGATCTAGATCTAAAGTTTGTGTGTAAAATATCAACAAGCATTTAGGGTCAGAATTTCAAAAGAGCTTGGTTCCCATTTTGGTGCCTAAATGAAGTGGCCACCTTTTCAAAAGTTCTCAGTAGCTTCTGTGGTTCTCAATGAGAGCTGTTGGTTGAAAAACACTCTTGAAATTTTGGCACTTCATTTACATTCCTAAAATGGAAGCTAAGCCGTTTGGAAAATCTAATGTTACCTGTTGGTGCTGAGCCTTAATTTTATGTGTGTTTTTTAATAAGATTTTTTTCTCCTTTGTTTCTGTGATACAGTAACCTTGCGATAATAAACTTGTCAGTTGATTTCCATTAATTTTGTTTCACAATATCTTTTTTGTATCATTTTTCTACTATTTCCATTTTGGTTTTCAGATTTTAAGCACACATAGCTAACTTTTAAATGTTATTGTTTGTCAATTGAACAGCACTGTTACCATGGGATTTGTGTAAGCAAAGAAATGGAAACACGTCCTGTAGATGGAGAATGGGGACCTTGGGGACCTTATAATTCATGTTCAAGAACCTGTGGAGGTGGAATCAAAAGCACAACCAGGCTGTGTAATCGACCTGAGTATGTTGTTTGTTTGTTTGTTTGTTTATATCAATATGTTTTTGATATTGTTGTATCCCAGCAAGTTAGTTCAAGGCAGCAGCAAAATAAATAGCCATTTAAATAATTTCTAAAGCTAGAGGAGGTCAGTCTACAATCTCTGATATTCAGAAGGTTTCTGAATTAATTTTATAATTTCTCTCAGGTGAATTATGTGTTTTTCAGATATTTTAAAATTGCATTTAGAGAGGACCTTTTCTTCTAACTTTATATAAATTGTTAGAATTTAGAGTCAACACTGAAATGCTTTAATTGAAGTAGAAACTTCAAAATAACATATTTTCCCTTTGTTAACCTTTTAAGTAATCACTTCCTTTCATCTTTGGCTTTTTCACAAGGTTGCCAACAAGAATATTCACTGGCGGTAAGGAGCACTGTTCTAGCTAGGCCTTTGGATGCTGAAGAGTACATAATTTTATGTTAATAAAACATTTCCTCTCTATTTGACAGTATTTTCCTTTTTTTCATCTCCTTTCTGTCCTGTAAATGTGACTGCCTCTGCCAGTGGTAATGAAACTAATGTTAGAACTTTGGAGAATAATGCTTTAGGGCTTGAGTCTGCCTCCCTTACTGCAAGTGACTTCAGTAGAATGAGGTTCCTCAGAGCAAGGACTGTCTCTCATTATATGGTTGTACAACACTTAGTAAAATGGGGCTCTGATCCTGATTGTGGCCCCTAGGCACTACTGCAGTGTAAAACTAATTACTAATTCTTACAGAGTAAAGTACTACAGCAAATAAGGTTAATAAAATGGGGCTCTTACAGATTACTAGATGTTCATGTTATTCAGATTATTATAGACTTGAAAGGCCTGATTCTAAAATGGTAGCATTATACACCCACTTTGCATTCACTATTCACTGCACATAGCAGTGGAGAATGAGGTCTGAATATCAACATATAAGAGGGGAAAACTATGCTGAATGGATATGATAAAAGACTGTTTTGAAGCTTTGCCATTAGGATCAACTGCTTGTTTTAGAAACAAATGATGGAAGTGATGTTGATCCTATGTACTTTACTTTGAATCATTTTGATTAGGCCAAGAAATGGAGGAAAATACTGTGTGGGTCGCAGGATGAAATTTCGATCATGTAGTACTGATTCATGTCCAAAGGGCAAACAAGATTTTCGAGAGCAACAGTGCTCTAATTTTGATGGTAAACATTTCAACATCAATGGTCTTACATCTGCTGTACGCTGGCTTCCAAAATACAGTGGCAGTAAGTAAATACAGATTTTCTTTGCTAACTAAATAAAAATGTTCATTTACTTAAAGCTTTACAACAGACAAAAATCATGCTGGATTTTCTTTACAGTTTCTATGAAAGATCGCTGTAAACTTTTTTGCCGAGTGTCTGGAACAACTTCCTACTACCAGCTGAAAGACAGAGTTGCCGATGGTACCCCCTGTGGAACTGAAACCAATGACATATGCGTTCAAGGCTTATGCAGGGTATTTAAACTTAACTTGGATATTATAACACTTATATATAATATATTAACATACTAATAAATATTTATCACATATCTATGTATACTATATACTTTATATAGTATACTATAGTATATACTACATACAGTTCTTCTAGCGTTAGCAGTGCTTGATGAGCCACCTGACAGCAGCTTTACCAGCATAATTAAGGGCCGTAAGGCCATCATGAAGTCTGGTTATCGACAACATGTGCCATTGACTGACAGAGACCACACTGATAAAGTGGGTCATGCGTAGATCCTTCTTGTAGAGGTTGGCTGTGCATATTCCTTGGCCAGTTCGGAACCTGTTCACAGAGTCCGAAGATGATGTGGCAAGTCAAATCCCGGCAGTTGAACGGTGAGATCAATGACAATGAAACCATTTCTCTTTAGCTGACCACTTATTGCACCACAGGGTTGCTGCTGAAAAATTCTGATCTGGTAGTTGAGACCATGATGGACATAAATCATGCTCTGTGGTGACTGAAGAAGTCTGCATACAGTGGTAGACCTGGATTGGCATGTAGCTTTTCCACCAGTTTGGCTATTGATTGTCTGCGATGAATGTGTGGAGGAGCTAAGTTGCTCAGAACTGATAGCCATAGAATAGGAGTCAGGCATAGAGTGCTGCAGGGCCGGGTCTAACTTTTTTGCCGCCCCAGGCAAAAAAGAAGAGAGCCGCCCTGCCGTATCCCCCCCAGCAAGCGCCACCGAAATCCCTGCCCCCCCAGCACCACGCCGTCCGAAGCCCCGCCCCCAGCGCTGTGCCGCCCGAAGCCCGGCCCCCCTCAAGTGCCGCCCGAAGCCCCGCCCCCTCCGAGCGCCGCGACTGCGCCAGCCCCGCCCCAAGACCGCCCCCCGAGCACCACGCTGCCCGAAGCCCCGCCCCCGAGCACCGCCTGAAGCCCCCCTCCGTACGCACCGTGTCCCCCCGAAGCCCTGCCCCTCCGAGCACCACGCTGCCCGAAGCCCCACCCCCCAAGCACCGCCCGAAGCCCCCGCCCTCCCTCCGAGCACCGCGCCGCCGAATCCAAATAAATAAATAAATACATAAAAAATTGAGCGCCGCCCTGCCCCAAGGTGCCTCCCCAAGCACGTGCTTGGTCGGCTGGTGCCTGGAGCCGGCCCTGGGTGCCTGTGGTTGCACATGGTTGAGTTCAATTCAGCATCAGCCAATTACCTGTGAGGTGAACAACGACAAATGAGCACAGTAGTCTGCTGAGGAGTAGCACAGCACCAGAGCTGATGTGCGAAGTCTTCTGTGCACCTGTGCCCCATGTGAAACTGGCTAATTTGCTGATTAGATTATTCCTGGTCCTGACTTTGGCAGCAGTCTGTTTTAGATGCTGTGGTAAGTCAAATAGTGGTCTAGTGTGACACCAAGGTAGACCTATTTTGCCTTGTATTTCAGTCATTATCCAGTGAGGAAGATGTCTAACTTACATTGTGGAGGTGGAAGACACTGAAAACTGTCTTTGTCACACTTTGTTGGAGGCGCCAACTGCTACAGTAGTCTGCCATCTTGGGCAGGTTGGCGTCAAACAACAACCTTGTTCTCATCCATGACTGAAAACGATGGGGTACATTTCACTCAGCCAGATGGTCATGTGATTGCTCATGTGACCTCAGCTGGGTGACATCACTAGATGGTTATCTCCAACCAGCATCATATGTGGTCCTGGACAACTTTCCACACAGTCAACACAGACCAGCACTTATCCATGTTGGCCTTCAGCTGCCCATTGTTAGAAACTTAGACAAAAGAAGATGGAATTTCAGGAAACCAAATTGGGAGAAATTTAGCAAAATCCTGGAATGAAGTATCATTACTATCCCATCATGTTTCATGCCAGTCAATGAAGCCTACAACCATTTCCATGGAGCCATCTTCAAAGCAGTGTGAGAGTCCATTCCACAAGGCTATTGCTGTGTCTACATTCCTTGTTTTGACACCATATGTTCAGAACTATTGATGTGGTATGAATTGTCTGGAGATCCAGATATTGCTGACCAGCTAATAAAGTCCTTAGCTGCTGTGATAGAAGCAAGATGGGAGGAAACAACAAGGATTATGAATTTCACCCTTTACAGCCAGAAATCCTGGAACATTTGTGTTGACTTGGCACAGCAAGTGCTGCCCCGTCCTCCTGTCACTCCAAACCAAGTTGCTAGCCACTTGCTTCAGGTTGCAAAGGTTCCCCTGAATAAGCTTGTAAAATGGCAGATTTGCAATGAATGGCAGCAATTCAGATGATGTAATCTGCACCATTCACAAACACTGAACTTGACACTGTACTGTGCAACATCAAATCTGGAATTTCACCAGAATTCCTGAATCACCTTGGAACCAACGCTTATCAATGATTATCCAAATTCCTGACTCAGGTTGTCAATTTTGGTAACCCGGCCAGGATTTGGAGAATGTCAAAAGTAATCGCCCTTCTAAAACCTGAAAAGGACCCACACAATGCAGCAAACTACCAACTGATCTCACTGCTATCTGTCGGATTCAAAGACTTGGAGTGGCTTATCCTCCAGCGTATATCTCCAGAGGTGATGGCAATTCTCAGCGTTGACCGAGCTGGCTATTGGAAGGGTCGAAGCACACATGACCAAGTCCTAGCTCTCACTACATATATAGAAAACAGGTTTCAACAGAACTTGAAGACTGGAGCTGTTTCTTGGACCTGACAGCAGCCTACGATACAGTATGGCACACTGGTCTTCTGATAAAACTGTCAAGAGCTCGCCCAGCATGAGTGGTGGACATTGCTGAACTTCTATTTCCTGATAGGCATTTTTGTGAGATGGAACAAGTGAACTCTAACGCCCTGTGCTTGCGTCCACCCTGTTCAGTCTGTTCACAAACGACCTGCTACTGACTCAGTCACACAAATTCATCTGTGCAGATGACTTCTGCTGTGGTACCCAGTCACGCTCTTTCATTATATCTATAGTATGTACACCTTATACTATATAGTATATGCTATAGTATACTACATATTATTATATACATACTATACACTACACACACAGTCTCTCTCTCTCTCTTAAAAAAATATAAAAATATACGTCAAAGCAAATCCTCTTGGAAACCACTAAAGCAAAGTTGTTAGAACTGCTTTTAACAAAGTTCTGATCCTGGTCAGCTTAGTGACCTAGAGGGAGAGCTCATAAAGTAGAAGACCCAGATTTGAATCCTAAGAGCCTAATTCTTCTCTCATTTAAACAGGTATAAATTAGGGGTAACTCTATTTAAGTCAGTGAATAGCTGAGAAAAGTGCTATTACCTCTGTGGAGAGGAGGTTTTACATCATATTTCTCAAAATCAGGAGGCAATTTAGCTCTGAAAGGGATCATTTCAGTTTTCTTAGATGGATGAAAATTATGGTAATGCCACAGGCCCTTTTATAGGGAGAGGGATGCTAAAACAACCCAGAACTTCAAGACAGATTTTGCTTTCCATCCCCATGCAACCTTACTGATTGCAGTGGGTTGCATAATGTGAAAGTGAAGATAAAATTTGACCCTTCATTAGGGTAAACCACAGGGAGGAATGACAGAGAGCAGCTGTACTTATGTGGAGGAGGGAAAGGGAATGGTCTGAGTAAAGAATTAAAAATTAAAATAGTGATCTTGGGTTTATTTTTCTTAGTATCTTAGCTAAAGGACATATAAATAGTTAATAAATCATTCTTTATTTTATAATTATAGAGTTTAAAAGAATTGATGTTCATGTGCACATAATACTAAAGGAATTGATTCATTTTAACATTACAGAGGTTTTTGAACAAATTGTCTTTAAAATTTATAGTGAACATTCAATATTGTAGATAGAAAAGCTTTATAAAATGTTAATGCATCAAGAAATGCAGAAATGTTAAATACATTTGCATTGTACTTTCTTAGAATAACAGAACTATTATACTTTGTCCTTGCATCACAGCACCTAAGATCATATAAAAGACTGTTCATGATTTGCCAACAAAGATGGAGATAGTCCATTGATATATATATACATAGTGAATAAAATACTTTTTGGGGAAAAATCTTAAAATGTGCCATTTTCACTGTTTTCTACTGAGCTGAATGACTTATTACAATATATGCAACACAGATTTATTGTATTTCTTGTAGCAAGCTGGCTGTGATCATGTGTTGAATTCCAAGGCAAGGAGAGATAAGTGTGGAATCTGTGGCGGTGATAATTCTTCATGTAAGACTCTTGCAGGTACTTTCAACAGTGCTCATTATGGTATGTTTTTCTCTTATTTTACATTTAAGTTGTGTTTAAAGTACGATTTCAGTGTATGTTCTTTAGGGCCTCTGCCAACAGAAAATATCCATGACTTTGAGTCACAAAAGCTCTTTCAAGGATACAGAGACAAACACTGTGGTATGCTGACCTATTCAGGGAAAAGCCAGTTGCTGAGTAAAGTCAAAGCAAAAAAGAGGGGGAAATGGTGTGGTGAGGAGTTGCAGAGCTAGCTCTGGAAAAGAGCGCTTCCTGCTTCCTGCACTTTGTGATCAGTCTGTGCTGAAATTACACAGCCCATGGGGCTCCAGCATCTCCTGTTGGCCCCATGAGGAGAGAGAGGGATGAATCCCAGGTCTGAGCTCCTGGCTGATTTTCTTTCTTTTATTAAAATGACAAATATAGACCCATAAAATGCGATGCACTCTCTTATCCCAGATTACCAGAAGATGTATGTTCTCCTTCTGATCAATGGCAATTAGTGGGAAACCTATCACATAGAGAATCTATTACCTCAGTTTCTTCATTAATACTATCTGTAGTTCTTACAACAATGTGTAGGAGGGTTTGAGAGACCAGTGTGTATATATAAATAGAAACTCTTGTCAAGCATAGCATACAGAACCATAGCTTCGTAGTAAGAGCATGGGACAGAGGGTCAGGAGACCATGGACATCAGTTGTCCAATGGCCCCTTTAGGCTGCTCCACTAGTTTAAAGGGGCAGCAAACTGGGTGGAGATGACCCTTGGCAAAAAGGCGAGATGCCTGGCCAATGTAGAGCTGCCAGAAAAGTTCTGTTCTGACACCTTTCCCATTCTCCAGGGGACAAGGGGAAGGGTATGTCCAAAATGCTGCTGGACTTTGGCTATTTTTTGCCTGGCAGATGGTTTGTGCTCATCCCAGGGGATGAGGCAAAAACACCAGGAGGCATAAAGGTGGCACACAGACACTGTCTCTCCTCTCTCCCTTCTCCCACACGTATATACACACAATCCGCTCTTGTTTCTGTGCTGATGGATGATCGAAAGCACAGTAAGTGCCTGTTATTATTAAATCAGAAACAATATGAATTTGTAAATGTACATTTAAAATTGTAACAGTGAAAGGATGTAAGAGTTTGATAAAACTGTAAAGGAACGGTGGGCTTTTTTTATCACCATTAATGATCATGTACTGTAGGGTTAGTACATGAATTGAATTAAGAATGTGTCTGATACCAATCTATTCATATTCTGATGAAAATGGCATTAATGCCACTGTTAGCAAGGCTGTATTAGTATATCTGTTACCACCTTACATATTTTTGAGTTAGTTTGCTCTTTATTAAAAGCAAACATGCTCAAGCATGGAACTTTCCATTTAAAAATAGGGTTTCTTTTTTAATAAAATTTCAAAATTTAATTATGTTAATTTAGTCATTTTTATTTTAAGTCTGGTCTTGAAAATTAGTAAATTATGTAAAATAATGAAGTTAGTAGCTTCAGGCACTTTTTTCTTTCTATGGTGGAAGTGAAAAAAGGTTTTTTTGGCTGTTTTTTCATTTTCAACTGACAGGTTGCAGGACTTTGTATTTTGAGGAAATAACACAATTAAGACCTAATCATTTCAGTTAGGAAAACAAATCTGGGCATATGCCAGAAGGACTAGGTCATGGCATTTATTTCACTGCCATCCATAGGTGTGGTGCAGTGTCCTGTGCACAGGGTGTGTGCACTTTGAACAACCATTTGGACTGCTATAGATTGTTTTCCCTGTGTTTACAGCACCCCCCTTCCATGAGCCTGTGTAAAAGGGCTTACTGTAAATGAGAATAAGACCCATTATGCTTTGTACCTCCCACTAGGCTTCTCTCAGCAACACATCATGGTATGATGTAGTCTTAGGGCCAAATTCTACTACCCTTACTTATTTGACTAATCCTCTGACTTTGCTGGGCTTGGAGAGGGTGTTAGTCGAGGCAGAATTTGACATGGCAAGATTATAAAGCTTGTTTTGGGGAAAGAAAAATTGTGTTATTTTCTTCTATTTTACAATTAATCATAACATTTAAATTGCGCTTTAATTATTAAGCCCCTAAATCATCATATACCCTATGTGAGTACACTAGGTTTTCCAGAAGTCTATATGTGTGGTGGCAAGTAGTGAGGCAACTACCTGCTGCCTGCATGCTCAGAGGGAATAGTTCAGAGCTGTCACTAGCTCTGCCCACTGTTACTATGACATGGTTTGACTCTGTAACAAAATGCGGGTGGAGTCACTCAAAATGGGCATGGTTATGCAAATTAAAGCATGTCTACAGACCCTAAACCAGATAGTAGCACATATGCCACAGATCTTGTAGCCTGCACTGCCCACACAGCTCTAACAGTTTGACAGCCATATTCAAGCAGGAATGCAACAGCCCTCACAGAATGTGATGTTCAGTTGACCCTTAGCATCTTCCCAGAAACAGAGAGATGACCCCCCAGGATAGCACTAGCACATCTCCAGTCACATTGATGAGATAAGATGCTCTCTCAAGGCTGTATTATACAAGCAAATTGATTTTATCAGGGAGTTTGGTATGTGTAGGCCTCACCAGCTTGTGCTGCAATACTCTGCCCCTTTGATATTCCCTGGGAGTAGTGCAGTAGTAGACACTCTCACTCCTTATGCACCAAGGGACCAATTTGAGATTTGGTTTATGCCACTGCAGGGGCAGCCTGTGTGATCACTCACTGGAGCAGTGCTCTGCGTGCCATGTAATGTTAAGTTATAATTTTGCCCTACATATTTAAATGTTAATAAAATAGTCATTAGCAATTCATTGCAACTAAATGCTAATGTACTGGCATCCTGGTTTGAGGAGACAGGTACCTTTAATTACTCATACTTGGTATTTTTAACTGTCTTTCTGTTATATTGCACTTATAACTGAAGTATCTGAGTACTTGACAAAGAATTGTCCCTTCCCCAACAAAAGTCACTGATGTAATTTTCCAGTTCCTTGTCTCATATCAGCATGCTACATGGCAATGTTTCTGTTATTTTTAAATTTCTTTCCTCCCAATTTTGTTTTCTCTCCTCTCTCCTCCAACTACCTCTTTCTCTTTCCTCTCCCCCTTTTTACCTTCTCTTGGGTGTGAATGATAGGGGGCTTTTTGGGTGTTTTTCCTTTACTACATATTGGAAAGATATATTGTGTAATTGACAGGTAGTGGACTACTGACTAAAGATGTGCAAATTGTAACAGTTTGCAATTACAGTGCTGCCCCCAAGTGGTAGACATAATAAATCTGTGCTAACACTAAGCTTTTTGGGTTATACACATTGATTATTATGTGATTAATACAATACTGTACAATTAGTGGATAATGACATTGAGGGGGAGAGTCTTGTAGTTATATTTTTAGCTTATTACCCATGGATGAGAGCTAGCAGTTGAAGCTTAGTGCTAATAATAATCCTGAGGTAATGTTAGTGGATAGAGAAGCAATTGGAGGAGTTATCAAGAATTATATTAATTCTTCTGACTGATTGTGCTACTATTTGTTAAGCAGGTTCACAATATAGGGTTCTTAGATTCAGTGGTGCTCCTGGATGTTCAGGTAGCAGCTGTGAATAAGCATTTTTAACTGTACATGTGAGAAGAGTGTGGCTGTTTCTCTCAAATGTGGATCTGGCTATTTATTATTTTGTTACCTCAAAACTATGCTGCTACAATACCTATTACTGTATTTGGGACTAGCTGGAGTAATTGTAGAATGTGGTGACTCGTTTATGAATTGCTTCTTGAAGGGAGCACATCAGACCCATACTCTAATGAGTAGCCCAACTCACATCTGGAAGATTGCAGATCTAACATGACTAATTTATCTAATGTTTATAACTTACCTACCTGCCTGGCCTTCACACTGTACTGTCTGAGCACCTAGCAGTCATTAATGGATTTTCACCTCACAGCACTCCTTTAAAATAGGGAAGTATTATCTCTGTTTTACAGATGGAGGGCTGGGGCACAGGATAGATTAAGTGACTTGTACAAGCTCTCACAGAAAGTTTGAAGCCAGGTCCTCCTGAATCCCACTATAGTGTCCTAATCAGTAGACATGTATATGGAAAGGATTTTATTAATAGAGTCCACTAACATTATTGGTTATAGTACATGTCATTCAGTTTTCATAAAACCAGAAAAAATAATTTTCTTTTTTGATATGAAATCAATAAGTATTATAATAGTTCCGTTTGACTAGACTTTATATAGCTTAATTTCTGTGTTTTAAAAGAAGCTACCAGATTTTCCTTCCTGCAGAAAAATGAGTGGATTTAACAGCGGGCTGTCCCTCACTGGTTGTCAGAGTATGGGAAGAAAGCTGATTAAACGAATGTTCAGAAAATTAATTTTTACAAGTATATGGATGTTTGTGGTGTTTAGAAAGAACTAATTTATGTACAATTATATTCCAGGTTATAATATCATAGTAAAAATTCCCATGGGAGCAACAAATATTGACATTCGTCAGCACAGCTATTCAGGAAAACCAGAAGATGACAACTACCTTGGTAAAGGTTTCCAGTAAACAACAGCTGATAGATGGTTTGTGTGTACTTTCCCAAAGGTCTACTGCAGACATAAAATATAAGAAGTCTGATAAAGTCCTTAGAGCAATTGTGTAATTATAATTTATCATCACCTGGGTTGCCTGGTTCCCCCTTCAGAAGTTACACAAGTGTAATTTCATCTGGGAAAAAAAACAACACAGGAACTTTAATGGGTTTTGGGGATTCAGAGATTCTCTGGCTGGAAGGGACCATTGTGATAATCTAGTCTGATCTGAATAACACAGGCCAAAGAACTTCCCCAAAATAATTCCGAGATCATATCTTTTAGGAAAACAGTTTTGATTTAAAAATTGTTGGTGAAGGAGAATCCACCACGACCATCGGTAAATTGTTCCTGTGGTTAAATACTCATTCTTCATGTAGATACTTATACACTGTAATCAAGCCACCCATTAACATTTTCTTTGTTAAGCTAAATAGTTTGAGCTCCGTGAGTCTATCACTGTAAGACAAGCTTTCTAATCCTTTGGTCATTCTTGTGGCTCTTCTCTGAACCCCCTCCAATTTATCAACTTTCTTCTTGAATTGTGGACCCCAGAACTAGATACAGTATCCCAGCACTAGTTGTACCAGTACCAAATAGAGGTAAAATAACCTCTCTACTCCTGCTTGAGATTCTCCTGTTTATGTATCCCAGGATTGCATTAGCTCTTTTGACTACAGCTTCGCAATGGGAGCTCACGTTCAGCTAATTATCCACTATGACCTCCAAATCTTTTTTCAGAGTCACTGCTTTTCAGGAGAAAGTCGTGCATCCTATAAGTATAGCCTACATACCTTACTCGTAGGTGTATGCATTTGCAGTTAGACATATTAAAATGCATATTGTTTGCTTGCATCCAGTTTACCAAGTGATCCAATTTGCTGTGAATCAGTGACCTGTCCTCTTCATTATTTAACATTCCCCCAATTTATGTGTCATCTGCAGACTTTATCAGTGATTATTTTATGTTTTCGTCCAGGTCATTGGTAAAAATGTTAAATAGTGTAGGGCCAAGAACAGATCCCTGTGGGACTCACTGGAACAAACCTGCTCAATGACGATTCCCTGTTTATACTTACATTTTGAGACCTACCAGTTAGACAGGTTTTAATTAATGTAATGTGTGCCATGTTAATTTTATATTCTGTTTTTTTAATCAAAATGTTGTTTGGTACCGAGTCAAATGTCGTACAGAAGTCTAAGTATATTACCTTTATTAACATTGTTACCTTTATCAGCTAAACTTGTAACCTCATTTCATAAAAAGATATCAGGTTAGTTTGACAGGATCTCTTTTCCATAAACTCATGTTGATTTGCATCAATTACATTACCCTCCTATAATTCTTTATTAAATGAGTCCAATTTCAGCCACTCAATTATCTTGCCCAGGATTGACATTAAACTGACAGTCTTTAATTAGCCTGCTCCTCCTGTTTCCCTAGTTTAAATTTGGCAAAACATTAGCTTTCTTCCAGTCTTTTTGAACTTCTCCAGTGCTCCAAGACTTATTGAGAATCAACATTAATGGTCCAGTGAATTCCTCAGCCAGCTCTTTTAAAAGTCTTGGATACAAGTTAACTGGACCTGCTGATTTAAAAATGTCTAACTTTAGTAGCTTCTGTTTGACATCCTCCAGAGATGCCATTTGAATGGAAAGAGTGTTATTATCACCATATAATGAGACTACATCATCTGTTTTTACCACAAATACAGAACAGCAATATTTAATAAACACTTCCCCCTTTTATGCATTATTATTATTGATAATTCTACCATTTCCATCTACTAGTGGACAATATCATTGTCAGGATGCTTTTGGTTCCTAATATATTTAAAGAACTGCTTATTGTCCTTAACTCTGCTGGCCACAGAGTTCTCCTTGTGTCCCTTTGCTCCCTTATCAGTTTTCCACAATTCCTAATTCCTGATTTATGTTTCATTACTATTAACTTCCTCTTTCTTTCATTGGTAATATATGTATATATATTGAATTTTTTGTAGCTGCCTGCACTTCCCCTCTAAACCACATCAATTTTTTACCCAGTACAACCTACTATCTCAATTGTGAGACTAGTATCAGAGGGGTAGCCATGTTAGTCTGAATCTGTAAAAA